TGCCCAGCACTTGCCTTTGGCCACCTCGGGGCAGCAGGTCGGGTACTCGTAGCACTGAGCTCTGCATCTGTCTGGGGGGCAGAGCAGGGAACGTGAGCCCCGGGCCGGGCCCGCAGCTCCAGGGGCTCCCGTGCCCGGGCTCTGAGCCAGCCCGGGGACCTTCTGCCAGCCCGGCTGGCCCCGGGCACCGCTGGCACACACAGCCCAGCCCCGGCACAGCGATCCTGCCTGCAGCGGCCACAGCGGCCACAGCCCGGGGCCGGGTCCGGTTCTGTCCCCTCCCGCCCCCTCCCCGAGCCCTCCCCGAGCCCTCCCCGCTGCGGGGACGCCGCTGGAGCTGCCCCCGGAGCCGGAGCCGGGGCCGGAGGGAAGGGCCAGCCTGGCACGGGCTCCGGGCTGCCCCGAGGATGCCCCGGCAGCAGCGCAGGCTCCCCGGGCACGGAGCTGCAGCCCCGGGGGAGCGGCTGCCGAGCCCCAAGGGATGAGCAGCACCTCGGGCAGGGGCGGCCCCGACGGCCGAGGCTCAGCCCCACCTTCCTCCTCCTGCCCGTGCCGGCAACGGGGGGGATCGGGCAGCCCCCAGGCAGGGCTGCAGCTGCCCGGGGGGAGATGCCGCCGCTGTCTTACCCATGCTGGAGCCTCGGGGTGCCTGTGCTGACGGCAGAGGTGCTGGCGCTGGAGCTGCAGCTGCTTCTCCCGCTGGAGCGGCTTGTGCTGGCCCGGGCCATGCGGGGGGATTTATATCCCCGGCCCGGGCCGGGGGCAGCGGGGAAGATGCCAAGGGAGGGGCCGGGGCTGCCCAGCGCTTGGGAGGGGCCCCCACCAGCCCCGCGGCTTCGGTCCGCCTCCCCACCCGCAATCTGCGGCCAGATCTGCTGCTCCGGCAGCTCCTGCCCTCACCCCAACCACCTCCCGGATCGCATCGCGGCGCTTCCCCGCCCAGGGGGGCTTCTCCCGCCTCTGCCCCCCAGCCCCAGCCCCGCTCCTGACCCCACAGAGCCCGACCCCCAGCCCAGGGCTGGCACCAGCGGGCTCGGCTGACCCCCACCCCGCGCTGAACTGGCCCCAAACAGCCCCGGCGAGGGCACAGACCCCCTTACAGGGGCTGGGGCTGGGGGGGGACGAGGGGCACCTGCAGCCCAGCTGCCCCATTCCAGCGGGAAGGAACACTCAGGGCCCTGGAACGTGGATCAGATCTCGGGCCAGAGCTCCTCAATCAGTGGGCACATCACAGGGACAGGTAATTGGTGCCCAGGAATGCAGGAACATCCCAGGGGGCCATTAAGGAGCCCCCAAGCACATCCCCAGCAGGAGGGCACAGCTCAGCCCCCTGCCCTGGGCTGGCCCTGCTGCCTCTGCTCCCACCACAGCCCCTGGCACACCTGGCACAGCCCTCGCCGGGCCTGCCTGCAGAGCACCAGCACCAAAGGGCTGCCCTTGGCACCACTGGGGGCCTTGGGGCACAAAACCCATCCCTGCCACCCCCCAGAGCCTTGGATTGCCTTCCCCCCCAAACCATGGCCGGGCTGGCATCGAGGGCACCCCGTGCAGGGGGGAGCAAAGGAAGCAGCTCCAGCTCCAGCTCCTGCAATCCTGGAGGGGTTGGGCTTGCAAGGGCCATCAGATCCCATCCAGTGCCACCCCTGCCGTGGGCAGGGACACCTTCCCCTGGCCCAGCCTGGCCTGGGAGCCGCTTCCCGCAGGGAAAGCCTTGCCTGGCTCCCCAGGGCAGGAGCTCGTGCTGGGCTCCCCCAGAGGTGCCAGGGCCGGGCACCAGCCTGGCTTTGGGCCCCCTGGGCACATTCCAGGGGCTGGGCTGCTGCCTCCTGCTGCTCCTGCTGTCCCCACCTTCCTGTGGCCCCAACACCTGCTCATTAAGGCCTTCATTAGCCAGGCCTCATTAAGAGCCTGGGCTGCTCGTCCCCCCTCGGCTTCCCCGGGTGACGTCTCTGGCATCTCCCCCAGCCCAGCCAGGGGTGGAGGGTTCCTGATTAAAGCTGATGCCAGCAGATAAGAGCAGGCTCAGCAGCCCCAGCCAGCGCTGGCCACTCGGGAAGCCCAGCCCGTGGGCAGCTCCTGGCCCAGGAAAAGCTCCCTGGGGAGCAGCCACGGGCAGGGACAGCCCAGCAGGGCCTGCCCTGGGCACAGGCTGGCACTTGGGAATGGTCCAGCCTGGCTGGTGCAAGGAGGGGCACATGGGCCCAGCTCAGCCCTTGGCTCAGCACTCCATCATCCAATCCACCACCCAAAACCAGGGGAAAAACGAAACTTGGACGAACCAGCTCGTTCCTGTCCCTCAGTGAGGCCTCAGTCTCCAAACCACGGGATGGCCCCATCCCACCCTGAGGTGGTGACACCCATCCCTCAGCTTAGAGAGAGGGATTATCCCTCTCCTGGCATCCATCCCTGCCCTCAAGGATTCTGCTGGGCAGCACATTCCTGAGCTGGACACATGCAGGGCTCCCACCTTCCCTGGGGAATTGGGTAATTTGGGGGTGTCCCCTCCTCTAATCCTGTGGGGAATGGGCAGCCTGAGAGGCTCGGAAGGTGCTCTGGGAGCGCCGTGTGTGTCCCCTGCAGAGCCAGGGGAGAGGCAGGCCCTGCTGGGCTGTCCCTGCCCGTGGCTGCTCCCCAGGGAGCTTTTCCTGGGCCAGGAGCTGCCCACGGGCCGGGCTTCCCGAGTGGCCAGCGCTGGCTGGGGCTGCTGAGCCTGCTCTTATCTGCTGGCATCAGCTTTAATCAGGAACCCTCCACCCCTGGCTGGGCTGGGGGAGATGCCAGAGACGTCACCCGGGGAAGCCGAGGGGGGACGAGCAGCCCAGGCTCTTAATGAGGCCTGGCTAATGAAGGCCTTAATGAGCAGGTGTTGGGGCCACAGGAAGGTGGGGACAGCAGGAGCAGCAGGAGGCAGCAGCCCAGCCCCTGGAATGTGCCCAGGGGGCCCAAAGCCAGGCTGGTGCCCGGCCCTGGCACCTCTGGGGGAGCCCAGCACGAGCTCCTGCCCTGGGGAGCCGGGCAAGGCTTTCCCTGGGGGAAGCGGCTCCCAGGCCAGGCTGGGCCAGGGGAAGGTGTCCCTGCCCACGGCAGGGGTGGCACTGGATGGGATCTGATGGCCCTTGCGAGCCCAACCCCTCCAGGATTGCAGGAGCCGGAGCTGGAGCTGCTTCCTTTGCTCCCCCCTGCACGGGGTGCCCTCGGTGCCAGCCCGGCCATGGTTTGGGGGGGAAGGCAATCCAAGGCTCTGGGGGGTGGCAGGGATGGGTTTTGTGCCCCAAGGCCCCCAGTGGTGCCAAGGGCAGCCCTTTGGCGCTGGTGCTCTGCAGGCAGGCCCGGCGAGGGCTGTGCCAGGTGTGCCAGGGGCTGTGGTGGGAGCAGAGGCAGCAGGGCCAGCCCAGGGCAGGGGGCTGAGCTGTGCCCTCCTGCTGGGGATGTGCTTGGGGGCTCCTTAATGGCCCCCTGGGATGTTCCTGCATTCCTGGGCACCAATTACCTGTCCCTGTGATGTGCCCACTGATTGAGGAGCTCTGGCCCGAGATCTGATCCACGTTCCAGGGCCCTGAGTGTTCCTTCCCGCTGGAATGGGGCAGCTGGGCTGCAGGTGCCCCTCGTCCCCCCCCAGCCCCAGCCCCTGTAAGGGGGTCTGTGCCCTCGCCGGGGCTGTTTGGGGCCAGTTCAGCGCGGGGTGGGGGTCAGCCGAGCCCGCTGGTGCCAGCCCTGGGCTGGGGGTCGGGCTCTGTGGGGTCAGGAGCGGGGCTGGGGCTGGGGGGCAGAGGCGGGAGAAGCCCCCCTGGGCGGGGAAGCGCCGCGATGCGATCCGGGAGGTGGTTGGGGTGAGGGCAGGAGCTGCCGGAGCAGCAGATCTGGCCGCAGATTGCGGGTGGGGAGGCGGACCGAAGCCGCGGGGCTGGTGGGGGCCCCTCCCAAGCGCTGGGCAGCCCCGGCCCCTCCCTTGGCATCTTCCCCGCTGCCCCCGGCCCGGGCCGGGGATATAAATCCCCCCGCATGGCCCGGGCCAGCACAAGCCGCTCCAGCGGGAGAAGCAGCTGCAGCTCCAGCGCCAGCACCTCTGCCGTCAGCACAGGCACCCCGAGGCTCCAGCATGGGTAAGACAGCGGCGGCATCTCCCCCCGGGCAGCTGCAGCCCTGCCTGGGGGCTGCCCGATCCCCCCCGTTGCCGGCACGGGCAGGAGGAGGAAGGTGGGGCTGAGCCTCGGCCGTCGGGGCCGCCCCTGCCCGAGGTGCTGCTCATCCCTTGGGGCTCGGCAGCCGCTCCCCCGGGGCTGCAGCTCCGTGCCCGGGGAGCCTGCGCTGCTGCCGGGGCATCCTCGGGGCAGCCCGGAGCCCGTGCCAGGCTGGCCCTTCCCTCCGGCCCCGGCCCCGGCTCCGGGGGCAGCTCCAGCGGCGTCCCCGCAGCGGGGAGGGCTCGGGGAGGGCTCGGGGAGGGGGCAGGAGGGGACAGAACCGGGCCCGGCCCCGGGCTGTGGCCGCTGTGGCCGCTGCAGGCAGGATCGCTGTGCCGGGGCTGGGCTGTGTGTGCCAGCGGTGCCCGGGGCCAGCCGGGCTGGCAGAAGGTCCCCGGGCTGGCTCAGAGCCCGGGCACGGGAGCCCCTGGAGCTGCGGGCCCGGCCCGGGGCTCACGTTCCCTGCTCTGCCCCCCAGACAGATGCAGAGCTCAGTGCTACGAGTACCCGACCTGCTGCCCCGAGGTGGCCAAAGGCAAGTGCTGGGCAGGGGGTGGCA